TTTCTGGTGAGCACACATGCTCTATAGCAAACCCCTCCCCGCCCGGCCGGACCCCGCCGGGGCAGGGGGTGGGCGTCGTCGGCCGGCAGTGCGCGAACCGGGACGTCGTCGAGGCCTGCTTCTACGTGCCAGCCTGGTTGTCGCCGCCCTCCCGCGCAGCGGCTGCGAGGTCGCCGGAGCCCACGTGTCGCCGGAGCCCACGTCCCGTTGGGATGCCCGTGCTCCGTTCTGTCCCTACAGCCGCCAGGGCTGGGGTCCGGCTAGGGCATGCCCGTCTTTGACCCAGGCCCGGTTCTGAAGCCGCTCGGCTCCGTGGGTGCGCTGAGCGCTGGTGATGACCTACGGGCTGCGGTTCGGTATCACTCACGCTGCTCGCCTTCCGCGCCTTGGAGCTGCCGAGGGATCGTTTTATAGGCCCCAGCAAGGCTGTCTGAGTTTCAGGTGAGGGTTTTGATGGTTAGTTTTGAACTGATTTTGTTTTTTTTTAATCTGTGACCAGGAGGGCTAAGACACCCAGGAAACCTCTAGTGAAAAAAGGATCCCAAACCAGCCTTAAAGACCCGGTTGGGGTAAGCTCTCGTGACTGACGTTTGTGTGTTCCTTTTCCAGTCCTGTCCGTGTGTGCTTGTGGGGGAGAAACGGCTGCCCCAGCCTGCGCGGAACTGGCTCCTGCTGTGACTGTCACTGCAGAGGTTTCCGAGCCCAGTGAAATGTGGCCTTTGGTTGTGGACCGTGTAGGTCCTTTGATTATAATTTAGAGTTGGAGCGTTAGAAGCCTTAGAGGGTTTGTGCTCTGCAGTTGGCAGGCGACTCCGCTTGGGTGAGCATCCTCTCCCAGAGTCTGGTAATAGACTCCCATCTGAGTCTGAGTGCCTGAGGGGCACGTTTTTTGAAGCTCACTCCACCAGGAGTGCACTTGTAAACATTGATCATGTGTTTTGGATTTATATGCCTCAACCTAATGCCAACTCATAATTGCAAGTACTTCACTAACTTTAGGCTTGGGAACGTGCTTTTAAAAGTAAATGGCAAATAAAATATAGTCGGTTTCATCAGAGCTATTGTATATTCCTCACTGCCATTGGAATGGCCCTCTGGGTCTGAGTCGGGGGTACCAGGTGTTTTGCACCCAGGTGAAGAGGTTTTCTTGAATCCTCTTGACTCCTCTCCCTCCTTTTGTAATTTAAAATAACTTCTATTTTTAAAAATCACTAGAGTATGTGTGCACTTGCCAGAGAGAACCACTCAATGGCGTGTGGTCATGCCGTAATCTTTTTTTCTCCATTCCATAGTATTTGGAGCACACAAAAGCTTGGTGTGTTTTTCAAGCCCCTGTGGCCGGGATTTGATCCCTGGTTGCCCTGTGGGATTTGACTCTGCACAGTGCTTAAACTGCTCTTCCTGGCTACCCACCCTCTCTTTGTATATTAAGTGTTAAGTTAAAATGGCAAGTGTTAAATCATGTTCAGTTTCAAAGAATTCTAACAGCCTTGAAAATCATTGTCATCATATGATACATTGTAGATTTTTATATTATTAGTATGTAATATGTTATATGTGCTTAATAGTGAGAAAAGGTGTGCAATTTGATGCCTTCATTATCAAAATGTACTTGAGTTCTATGTACATTTTAAATCTGTCCTCACCTCTGATGTATCTGTTTGCATTTGACTGGAGCAGTAGATTCAGTTCTCACGGCTGTTTATGTGTGAGTAGGTCTCTTGCATCAGCAGACGTGTGTGCTGAGTGAATGAACGAATGAATGCGACATGTAAATGAAACCAGGCCAAGGTAACCCTTTGTCCTGTAAGCACCTCCTGTTTTTCAGGTCTACTGCAGGGTGCGCCCACTGAGTTTCCTTGATCAAGAGTGTTGCATAGAAGTGATCAATAATACGACTGTTCAGCTCCACACTCCTGAGGGCTACAGACTCAACAGAAATGGAGACTATAAGGAGGTAATTCCTACTGGGACCAAGTTGTTTTTACTAAACAGCTTTTCCATCTTTAAAGTTTACATGAAGTTTATATTAAGTATTTTTTTTTTTGAAAGATTGCCTCTCTTCACTACAATAACTGCATTTAAAGTGTTTCTGGTTCCTCGGGTGTACAGATCCACCTTTGGTGTGCTAGACAGAGGATGGCTCTTAGGGGGTCATTTCTCTAACTAGATCATGACTGGTTTTAGAGCATATGCTGGGGCTAGTTTAATGTGGAATTCAGGTGATTGTGCTAAGTGTTGTATACGTACAGTTGCATGCATAGAGATTAAAATAACATTTAATAATATGAATTAAATATGTATATCAATGAAGTGTTTGATTTTTAAAGAATTGTTTATTTAATAATATTTATTATTTTTTAAAATTTGCCATAGGGCATGCGTACCTGCCAGAGAGGAGAGAGAGAAAGTAAGCTGCCAGGCCCAGGACTTGAACTAATGGGAATCCAGCCCCCTAGCTACCTTGCCACATGCTGGCCCTCAATAAAGTGTAGTTTCAGTAAATACTGAAAAACCTCAGATGCTGAGTTTAACTTAGTTCAACAAACATTGAGCTGAGCTAGTAGCTAGAGAGTGGCAGATTAAAAAAGGAGTGAGACACAGTCCTTGCCCTTATGGAGTTGCCACTTAGTGGGACAACTAGTAACCAAGTAACTGTCACCTCTGTAAGATGGGAAGCCAGGTGTGCTCCAGAGGGAAGAGGGCGGGAATGCAGAGGAAGGGCTGGTTCAGGTGGTTACTCCTACCGTCTAACTGCCCTTTACTCTGTCCGATTGCCTTCTTGGCGGCTAGACTTGGTGCGCCCTCTCTGTCCTCCTTGCACCCGTTGTTCAGCAGCACCCTCTTTCCTGAAGCGCTGTCTTGCCTCCCTCATCCTCCCTGTTCTCTGGTCTCACCTTGGCTAGCTCCTCCTCCTTTCAGTCTTTAAATACTGAAGGAGGCTATGCCCAGGCTCTATTCTCTCATCTCTACCTTGGAAAGGCTGTAAATGTCAATTGTAGTGTAAAAACTCTGGAATTTTAAACTCAGCATCCAACAGCTTACTCGTCTCTGCCTGGATGTCCCTCAGGCATCTCATGTACACATGCCCAGGAAAGAGCTCTTAACCTTTGCCCTCTAAACATTTTCTTCCCTGTCCTCTCAAGTAACACACCATCCATCCACTGCTAAAGCCGGAGCCTGGAGCCTGCCCCTCACTTGCCCTTCCTATGTCTACTTCAGCAGTAGATCCTTTCAGTTCTATTCCAGAGTGTTTCCTGAAATAACCTTTTGTTTCTATCTCCACTGCAGCCAGTCTGAGCCCCATTATTAAACACCGAAACTAGTGCTTCTCAAACTGGAATGAAGGAATAACTTTTTTATTTATTTTATTTTCAAATTTTGCTATAGGGCATGTATACTTAGTGGACAGAGACAGAGAGAGGGAAAGTGAAAAATCACCCCCCAGAGGGGATGGCCATTCTGCAGTCCCTTCTCCATTCTCTTCTTGGGATTTTGCGCATGCACACACACGCACCTGGTGTGATTTTCAAACCGCCAGATCTGAGACTCACACCCTTGTCAGCCATATAGGAGTCCATCTCCTGGCCCTGCTTTTTTATTTGGCATGCATTGCACCTGATACTTTGTACAGCTTGTGTTGGGTGGAGTAGCCACGTGAAGTAGACAATAGAACTGGGTTAGGATCTGTTCGTTGAGCCACGCGCCTCCCAAAGTCCCCGAGCACTAGGCAGACTGGTTACAAGCAGTTCTGAGCAGGTACTGGTTTGCTGACAGTGCTTTGAGCAGCGCAGACAGGACTAACAACTACCTGCTTCTCCTGGGAACCTTTTCTTTTTTTTTCTTTTTTCTTTTTTTTTTTGGAGAGGTTTTCGCTATAGGGCTTGTGCGCTCGCCAGACAGACAGAGACATAGAGACAGAAAGCGAGGAATCCCCCCTCCAGGGGGGATGGTCACGCCGCAATCCCTTCTCCTCCATTCTCCTCTTGGGATCTTGGGCACGCACGCACATGTGCCCGGCGTGAGTCCTAAGCCATCGGGTCCGGGACGCGAAGGGACGCGAACCGCGGTCAACTATGTGGGAGTCCAGCGACATAGCCATTACGCTAACTGCTGGTTCCCCTGGGAACCTTTTCTAATCCGTCCTCCACAGAGCAGTCCGAGTGATTAAAGCATACATGAGAGCTCATCATTTTTCTTTTTAAAACCTTTCAAAGAATACACTATGGGGACCAGCAGTTAGCATAATGGCTATGTTGCTGGACTCCCACGTAGTCGACCATGGTTCGAGTCCCAGACCCGGTGACTTAAACTCAAGCCAGGCGTGTGTGCATGCGTGCCCAAGATCCCGAGAGGAGAATGGAGGAGAAGGGATTGTGGCATGGCCATCCCCTCTGGGGGGTGATTTCTCAATTTCTGTCTCTATGTCTCTATCTGTCTGGCGAGCGCACGTGCCCTATAGCAAAAAAAAAAAAAAAATCTCCAAAAATAAAATAAAATTAAAAAAAAAAAAAGAATACACTCTATGAATGGACACCGTCTGTCTCCCACCCATCCCCTTCAGTGCTCTCCCAGCCATGCGAGCCTCTTGGACAGGCAGGAGTCCTGCCCGACAGCTCTTGTCTTGGCCTGCACTTCTCTCTTCCTTGGATCTTCGTTCCTCACCCTTGGGTTTCAGCGTAATTCTCTCTCCTCGGGGTGACCCAGTTATCACGTTAGAAATAGTGGCTGCCCTAGGCCATGCCCGCTGTGTTCTTTGGTCTCTCCTTAGGCACTTACCACAACCTATTACTTGTTTGCTGTTCCCCCACCGTGCTGTTAACGCCCAGGGTCTCTGCGCCTCCCATGTCCACAAATACTCAACATAGATTAAACGAGAACAAGTAGTCTGGGAAGGCATTGTGGAAGAGCAGCCTTTTTGATGAGATGGAGTATAAAACTGACTTGCTGATTTTGAACTTTTTTCCTAAATTATTTATTTAACTTATTATTTTTAAAATGTGCTATAGGTCATGTGTGCATGTGTGTGAGAGAGAGTGAGAAAGCAAGCCACCAGGTCTGGGACTTGACCTGCGGTCGACCTTGTGGGACTCTAGTGTTTTACCCACCACACCCCTTTGCTGACTCCTTAAATTTACTTTTTATTGAAGTAAATTTCAAGTATGTTTTCATAAAGGTTTCAAATAGATATATAAACAAAAGGTTTGGTAGGGACCAAAACTTGTCATGGCCTCATTATAGAAAGCACCTCCCTGAAAGGGCATTGATAGTCTTTAGCTCTATGGATGTGGCCAGGTTCCTCCTTTGTGCCTTAACTTACTTACTTTCTTTCTTTTTTTTTTTTTTGTAGGTTTTTGCTGTAGGCCGCGTGCGCTTGCCAGAAAGACAGAAAGAGACAGAAAGCGAGATATAACCCCCTGGGGCAATGGCCATGCCACAATCCCTTCTCCATTTTCCTCTTGGGATTTTGGGCATGCATGCACACATGCCCGGCTGAGTTTAGGCTACCAGGTCTGGGACTTGAACCGTGGTCAACTACATGGGAGTTCAGCAACATAGCCATTACGCCATCTGCTGGTCCCCTTAACTTTCTTTTTTAATTAAATTAAATTTTATTTATTTTTAACATTTTGTTAGAGGGTATGCATTTGTGTTTGTCAGAGAGAGAGAGAGAAAAAGTGAGAAAGCCTTCCTCAGGGGATGACCTTCCTGCGGTTCCTTCAGTCCATTTTCCTTTTGGGGTGTTGGGCGCACACACACACATGTGCCTGATGTGCTTTTTAAGCCGTTGGATCCAGGACTGGAACTGCAGTTGGCCATGTGGGATCCAGCCACCTTAACCACCACGCCATCAAGTGGCCCGTTAGCTTTCTTTACCATTAAAGGAGGACCTCTTCACGAGGCCTGGGAGGTCATCTGTCTGACCTCTCATATTCTTCAGTTACAAGTGTCTTTGTTCTTTTTGTAATCCCTAAAGCACTTTTACAGGATTAGAACAAAAATCTCCACATAGGTGAGAGTTCGCCTAGCTGAAGTAGCCATGTGGGCTGTGCCCAGTTATTTGACCTGCTTCCTTATGTATAAAGTGAGCTTAATGATAGTGTCTGTGTCAGATGTCTTAAGAACAAAATGTTTCACTACTTAGGCAGTTTCTGGGCTAAGGTCTGTGTCTGATGTTAACTGTTGTTAATTATCAAAGCTATGTATGTGAGAACTAATCTATACATGTCTTTTGGGGGAAACTTTTTTTTTCTCTTTTTTCCTGGAAAGGTTTTAGCTATAGGGCCCATACACCCGCCAGAAAGACAGAAAGTGAGAAATAACCCCCCGGGGAGATGGCCACGCCGCAATCCCTTCTCCTCCATTCTCCTCTCAGGATCTTGGGCACGCATGCACACACGCCCAGCATGAGTTTAAGCCACCGGGTTCGGGACTCAAACCACAGTCATCCACATGGGAGTCCAGCGACATAGCCATTATGCTAACTGCTGCTGGTCCTGAAACTTTTTAAAGAAATAATTATTTTATTTGGCTTTATTTATTTTAATTTGACCAGAGAGGGACAGAGTGAGAGAGAAAGAGAAAGTGACAAAGCAAGCTGCCAGGTCTGGGACTCAAACCATGGTCAGTCATGTGGGAGTCCAGTGCCCTTAACCACTGCACCACCTGCCAGCCCTGAAACTGTTATTTTTAAAGGGTCTGGTCCAGCACGTGGCATGATGTTTCAGGTGCTGGACTCCCGCATGGCTGACAGCTGCTTGAGTCCTATATCTGGTGGCATGAAACTCACACTGGGCGCATGTGTATGCATGCCTAAAATTTCAGGAGAAGGATAGGGGAAGGGATTGTGGCATGGCCATTCTCCAGGGGGAGTGATTTCTCACTTTTCCTCCCTCCCTAGTGAGTGTACGCACCCTATTGACAAAACAAAACAAAGCAAAATAAACCTGTAAAAATTAAAAAAATTATTAATATCTGAACCTGTTAAATGTAAGATAAAGACCATAAAACAGGGAAAAGAACATTTGACAAAGGCTATAATAAATTCTAATGAATGATCACATACCAAATAACTTAGTATTGAAATTCATGAAGCATAACTCAGAAGAAATTCAGGAACTTGCAGAAACAATGGCAGTGTCTACAATCCAATAAAATCATAAAATAACAAAAATTGAAATAATAGAACTCTGGCCCCTAGACATTTAAGGCTCTTTAACTTATATTTTTAAAAAGTATATGTACTAAAATATAATTTTCTTTCTTTTTTTGGAGAGGTTTTTGCTATAGGGCGCGTGTGTTCGCCAGACAGAGACAGAGAGACAGAAAGCGAGAAATCACCCCCTAGGGGGGATGGTCACGCCACAATCCCTTCTCCTCCATTCTCCTCTCGGGATCTTGGGCACGCACGCACACGCTCCTGGTGTGAGTTTAAGCCATCGGGTCCGGGACGTGAACCCGTGGGAGTCCAGCGACATAGCCATTATGCTGGTCCCTGTACTACAATATAATTTTCCAAGTAGGATCTTAGTAATATTTTCGGTAATACGGCCATACTTTAATAATGTTCCGAAAGATATTTGATAACTGAAGTATTCTTGGTTTCTTGAAGGTCACAATTAAAATTTATTTTATATAAGAACTCAGAGAAAAGCTTATAGCTTTAAAATACAGTATGTTAGGACAGCAGCTGGCATGGTGGTTAAGGTGCTGGGCTTCCACATGGCCCAGCATGGTTCCAAGTCCTGGACCTGGCAGCTTGCTTTCTCACTTTCCCTCTCTTTTTCTCTCTGATCAAATTAAGAAATGATAAATTAAATAAATAATTCTTTAGAAAACTACAGTATACCAAGATACTTCTTATACTGCTGTATTTTTGATACCTTTGTAAAGAAAAATTGCAAACAGTAAAATAGTTTATGAAATAATGCTTGAATATTTTCACAACTTTATGACTGTGAATTATTACAGTACTTTTTGATCTTTGTTGCTTAATGAAAACAGTCACCCTTAACCTTTGAAGCATTAGTTGATTTAAGACTTTTCTACATTTTCTTCACTAGTTGTGAATGAAAGTATTTACCACTTCCTAATTGGTCTAAATGTAGGTATGGCATGACTTTTAACGAGCTGCTAAGAAACTAAGGGTTCTGAGTTTAAAGATCATCTTATTTTCTCTGTGAAGATCTTAAATGTTCAGAAAGGAACATCTTATGTTCAAGCAAATGGATCTCTAGCCTAGATGGAGTAGTGGCCCATCTACTGCATTTTGTCTTCTCTCTGCAGACTCAGTACTCATTTAAACAAGTGTTCGGGACTCACACCACCCAGAAGGAGCTCTTTGACGTTGTGGCTAGTCCCTTGGTAGACGACCTCCTTCACGGCAAAAATGGTATGGGTGTGCTTCTTGGAGTTCTGCTGGATTTTTCTCTCTCCTCTTCTGAAACAACTTTTGGTTTTACGTGCTTGGTTTATATTTAGCGTTTAGTTCTGATCAATTTCTTTGGGTGGTGTTAAACTTGCTTTTCTTGAGCTGCTTAGCTTCTAGTGTTTTTAGTACAATGAAGAGATATCGTAAGTGGAAGCCTTTAAAGATGTAACTCATTCTGACTTGCTGAACCATAGGTCTTCTTTTTACGTATGGTGTGACTGGAAGTGGAAAAACTCACACGATGACCGGTTCTCCAGGGGAAGGAGGGCTGCTTCCTCGCTGTTTGGACATGATCTTTAACAGTATAGGGTCATTTCAAGCTAAACGCTACGTAAGTACCATTCTTCTGTACCGGGGCTGCTTCCCTTAATGCAGGACCAAGATGCCTTTGGAAGAGCCACAGTGTCAGATCCACTTCGAACCTTTAAATCTGTTTAAATATGAAATGTCTTACATTTCTTAAATATATTTCTTACTGTTTAAGTCAAATTCTAAACAACGTGGTCTGACTTGCCTCCGCTTCAGGTGTTTAAATCTAACGACAGGAACAGTATGGATATACAGTGCGAGGTGGATGCCTTATTGGAACGGCAGAAGAGAGAAGCCATGCCCAATCCAAAGACGCCGTCCAGCAAGTACGTAGTGACGCCGTATATAGCTCTGGCCTGCGGGCCACAGGGTTTTGTAGTGCGGTCTCCCCAGCCATGGAGCGTGGGGATCCTTAATAGAGAAGCTGACCTGACAGTTGACCTTTCTGAGATCAGAGTTGAGGAGTGTTTTTAAGTAAGTTACTTGTTCAGGTATTCTCTGTGGTTTTGAGTCAATGCATTTGAATGACTGTTTTGAGAAGATGCCCCTCTGTGGTAGGGTGGAGGAGGAAGGGTGTAAAAGCTTGTGGCAAGGTTAGCAGGTAGCATAATGATTAAGGTGCTGGACTCTCACATGGCTGACTGTGGTTCTAGTCCTGGGTCTGGCAGCTTGAAAATCATGCTGGGTGCTCACGTGTGCCCCAGATCCCAGGAGGATGGAGGTGAAGGGACTGCAGTGTGGTCATCTCCTGGCGGGACCAGGGGTGATTTCTCACTTTCCCTCTCTGTCTGGCGACTGCATGTGCTTGATGACAAAGAATCTAAAGATAGATAAAAGCTTGAGGACATGTAGGGCACAGTTGGGGACTGAAAGGGTGAATAAAGTCGCCCAGTGTACGATCCCCTTGGGATGATTCATTGCTGTTATTCAATGCAGTTTATAAAATCATATGGTTTTGTTCTTTGTTTTGTTTTAGACGACAAGTAGATCCAGAGTTTGCAGACATGATAAATGTACAAGAATTCTGCAAAGCAGAAGAGATCGATGAAGATAGTGTCTATGGTGTATTTGTCTCTTATGTTGAAATATATAATAATTACATATATGATCTATTGGAGGAGGTGCCATTTGATCCCATAAAGCCCAAGTAAGTAGGGAAGAGAGCACCATCTAGCTGATAACTTTGGGAAGTCACTACCTCAATGAGCATTGCTGTCTTTGGCTACGCCGGGATAATATTTCCATTTGTTCTCTGATTGAAACGATGTAGCTTGTAGATCACAGAGTTCAGGGAGTCCTTTTATTGTTAACAAACTGTGTTGCTGTATTAGGGAATCCTTAGATTAAGACATGGAAAAATGCAACCTGAATATCTATCTTGGAAATTACTTGGAAACTCTTGGCCCTGGACTATGTTTTGAAAAGGACCTTAAGTAGTCAATTAGTTACTATTGATGGGCTCTGTCGGGGTATCTTTTTAAGAACCCATGAGTCAGTGTTGGGAGTGTTGTAGCCCTTTTAGCTCTCTGTGTCCTGGAGTCTCTAGAGAATGGAGCCTGGGAAGCTGTTGTCTTTACAGATAATACAGTCCTTCGACTGTCAGTTAATACGGGCTGACTTCCGAGTTGTCATCCCACCAAAGTCAAAAGACTTCTTGACTTTTACACCTGGCATCACAAATGATAAATATGGCATCTTAAAGGCCTCTCGGGAGATAAAGTTCTGTGTTTATGTGTAATAGAACATGACTGGAGGCACCGCTCAGTTTAGAAAGCCATTAGACCTAGGGAACCAGCAGTTAGCGTAATGGCTATGTCGCTGGACTCCCACATAGTCCACCACGGTTCGCGTTCCGGACCCGGTGGCTGAAAACTCACGCCGGGCACGTGTGCGTGCGTGCCCAAGATCCCGAGAGGAGAATGGAGGAGAAGGGATTGCGGCGTGACATCCCCCCTGGGGGGTGATTTCTCGCTTTCTGTCTCTACGTCTCTCTCTGTCTGTCTGGCGAGTGCACACGCCCTATAGCAAAAAAAAAAAAAAAAAAAAAAAAACCTCTCCAAAAAAAAGAAAGCCATTAGACCTAGAATAAGTGTCAGTGTATCCGTGCTTATTTACATGAGAAATGTGCGGTCTGCTGTAGGCCGCACTTGACCAGAGTGTTTCTGTGGCTCTTACTTGAGTCGCATTGCGACGCAGGCTCGCTCAGTCCTTGAATTCTCAGTGTACTGATTGGGAAAACACAGTTGCTAAGTGCACTAAATGTAACGGGATTAACTGTAGAGCTACTGTGAAGGAAGGCCGCCATCGTTTGCTCTTGATCTACTTAGCCCTTCCTCAAATGAGAAGCTTACAAAGGGGCTTGTTTCTGGAGTGGCTTGTTCCTGTCTGTTCCCTTGGGATGTTGGTATCGTCAAAGAGATACTTGGCCTAGGTTATAGAGAAATACACGGAGAATGTGAACATTTTGAGACACTTGCTTTCCATGTCAAATTAATTTTCTTTCATTCCCAAGCATCCACTGTTTTGACTCTAGTTCATGTGCCTCCACTTTGCTGAACTTTTGTGGTGTCAGTCATCTCTACCTGTTAGTTTCACATCTGCCCACGTGTGCACGTCTGTCTGGTTTGTCTAAATGAGATTTTTTCGAAGGATCCTATCTTGTTTTTTTTTTTTTACTTATGCTATGAAAGACTGACAGGAGTAACTGCTGTGTGAGCTTTCTGGGTGACTCTGAACAAGCTGGCTTAATTGGCACTGAATTCTGATGTTGTTTGTTAGGGTGGCGCCAGACTGCTCTTTGAGCTGGGTAACATTTAGTGGTTTTGGATACAATGAACAAATGTCCCAAGTGGAGATTTCTAAGATGGGACTCACTGTGACTCCATAGCAGTAGTGGTGCAGACTGAGCGCCTGCTACTGCAGACAGTAACGTCCGCCTTCTTCCCTCGGTAGGTGGAACAGCTGCAGCACACCCATGAGGAGCACAGATTTTGTGTATGTGATGGTGTTGGCTCTTTCTTAAGGGTGCAGTTATACTAGAGGGTGGCATCTGTGGCGTGATTGCTTATCGGTTCGCATTGGCACTGGGCTGCTGCTACCTCTAAGCCCTTCTTACTTCCTACAAAACCTGCCATCGACTGGGAGTGAGGGTGATTAGCAATTTCACTGCCCTCCCGAGTCACAAGACTGAGGCTAGACAAGCAGCAGCCTTAACCGACCAGCATCCTATCGTGTAAGCCACTTGGAAAGGAGTGCCACTCCTGGTATACGCCAAACTCTTTCTGAATTCCTTTTCTGCTCTTGCTGAGGTCAGAACCAGTTCTGTCTGCTTATCTTTTAAAAATAGAGAAAGGGTAGATTCGGTGCTTAACCTGTGCATGTGATGTCGCTGTACTACTCTGGCTACGTGTCTAGTGAGAGCCCTTCCGTGTGCTTCGTTAGAACAAATTAGAGCAAAGCTTTTACAACAGAGTCGGCGCCTGTTGTGTTATGTCACTAATCTTGACTATATCCTTGTAATCTTACCCACGTTTAATACTTCTCTGGTGTCTGATGTAAGCTTTTTTCTATTAAGAGAATAAATGTCGTGTTGCCTGGCATTTTAGTTCTAGTCATAAGTGAAGGTGTTAGTATCTTAAAATTCAGGAAACTAATCCTTTTTTTCCCCCATAGACCTCCACAATCTAAATTGCTTCGCGAAGATAAGAACCATAACATGTATGTTGCAGGATGTACAGAAGTAGAAGTGAAATCTACTGAGGAGGCTTTTGAAGTTTTCTGGAAAGGTTAGAAACAGCTAGGACTAGAAAAATAACCCTAAGAGTTGTTCCCATAGCCTAACAACAACCCTTTTTGATCTGTTGGAAAGCACGTGTAACGAAGCGACTGGACGCAAGTCTCAGCAGTGATTTCTTTGTCGCCGTAGGCCAGAAAAAGAGACGTATAGCCAACACCCACTTGAACCGGGAGTCCAGCCGGTCCCATAGTGTGTTCAACATCAAGCTGGTTCAGGCTCCCCTGGATGCAGACGGAGACACCGTTTTACAGGTAATGTGGTGGCTGGAGTTTCCCTTCCTCTCAGTTCTTAATTTGGGAATTAATTTGGAGCTTGCATTGCAATGAAGTTGGCTCTGGAATTAACATTAATGTAGGTCATGGGATTTAAAATTGTTTTTAATTGGTTTTGGGAGGTTGATTATTAAATCTTAGAACCTGAATTTGTATTTTTTTGGAGAGGATTTTGGTCTAGGGCGCGTGCGCTTGCCACAAAGACAGAGAGAGACAGAGAGATGGAAAGCAAGAAATCACACCCTAAGGGGGATGGCTACGCTGCAATCCCTTCTCCAATGTCCTCTTGGGATATTGGACATACACGTACATATGCCTGGCATGAGTTTCATGCTACCGGGTCCAGGACTTGAACCACGATAGACTACATGGGAGTCCAGAGACATAGCCATTGTGCCAGCTGCTGGTCCCAGAACCTGAACTTTGGCTGTGAAAAGTATTCACAGATTTTTAAAAATCTCTTCCATAGAGGAGATCAAAAGAAGCATGTGTGATTTATTGGATTTCTTACAACTCATTTCATATGTGGAAATTCAGCTAATGGCTTTAAAATGTGAGCCTGTCATTGTCTGGGGTGGGAACGGTAGAAGGTGGCTAGAGTTCTAAATTGTTCCCTTCTTGGTGGGTGGACCAGGAGGATACCCCATCCGGTGATGATTATTACAGCTGGGCCTGTCATAGTATAAAGTTTAGGTCAGTAACAGCATTTGAGCCTGAATATACATAATTTAATAATTGTAAGCTATTAAGTGTAATTGTATTCAAACCATATCATGGGATTATAGCCCACTGAAGGTTACGGGTGGCAGGAAGGCATGGTCTGATGGCTGTGAAGATGCGGTTCCTCTGTATTCACTCGCTCTCTGTCTTAACTAATATTGTGGAACCTCAGCAGGGCGGTGAGCATTAAAGGCAGTGACACCCATACTTAGTCCCGTGCGTAGTTCACAGTGCTCAATAAACGTTAGCTGGAAATGGTCGTACGCCAGCCTTCCACATGTACCTGATTGTCTTTGAATCAGCATCTAGTATTAGAAGATCAGATACCTCTTGACCTCCATGTCTTCTTAGAAAACTCCTTAAGGAGTATTATGAAGTGATTATATACCCAATTATAGGAAAGAAAGAGGAGCTGTGTCCTAGACTCACTCTTAATTCAGCAGATATTTTTTGAGTGCCCCTGAGTGCTAGGCAGTGTGCAGGGTGCTGGAGATAAAGTGGCAGGAAAGACCGTCCCTGCTCTGAGGGAACGCAGTCTCATGTAGAAGACCAGGCAGTGGACGGGTGACAGTTACTGTCATGAGCAAACTCAACATGCGATTTTAGCAAACCTTCTAAAACTATCCTTTGCCCTTCTGTGTACTTTGTATCGAGTGAATATGAAGACTTGATACCTTGTTGACTTGAATATATTTAAAGGATATTATAACCCAGATTTAACTTATTTTGGGTTATTGACATTGTGGCTTTCCTTTCAGGAAAAAGAACAAATCACTATAAGCCAGCTCTCCTTGGTAGATCTTGCTGGAAGTGAAAGAACCAACCGGACCAAAGCAGAAGGGAACAGATTACGTGAAGCTGGTGAGTGAAACAGTTTATTGCTACAGTGTTGGAAAATGTGCAATGCCAGTTTATTATCTACTCACTGATGAATGGTTAAGGCATAACTAACTGTCTTTGAGGTAATTTTGAGGCTAATATTCATGGTCAGTGCTATTTGTTTCATGACGTTGTTTTGGTATCAGTATATTATACTGATTGTTTTTTAAGAATGAGGAAGAGTGACTACAGTAGATATAAAGTCAGATATATTCATATTGAAAGAGTCTGGTGTGTTTATTGCTAGTACTATAGGCCAGTGCTGGATCTTTGAAATGACGTGATTTAACAGTCACTCCAGAACTCCTGGTGGCATAAATTCCCCCCTTTGAAGATGGGGAACATCGGAACCTAATAGCTGACTTAAGGGAACCTATGTGTGATTCCGTGTGTTTAAAAGGCAAGGTCTTGGCTGCTGCCGTCCTCCTGCCTTACCCTCCCAGCTTGGACCACAGGTGTGCACCCACACCCGTCTCATTTTTAAACAGACTCTTGCTGTGTTGCCCAGGTCAGCTTGTAGCTCACAGCCCTGCCTCAGCTTCCACAGAGACTGGGATTATAGGCACAGGCCACTGTGGCCTGCCTTCAGGTAGTTGAGCCAGAATTGACCTCTGGCCTCCCACGTGGCCTCAGACCACAGAGCACAGTGCCTTAGCACTGCACGCACCACGACTAGGTGGATTTTAAAAATCTTTTCATTTGGTATACCCATGCATGTTGTATTACAGCTTTTTAAAAAATGTTTATTCATGAGAGAGACCCTGTGTGCACAAGTGGGGATAGGGCTGGGAGAAGGAAGCACCCTAACAGTCTCGTCATGCAGCAGTCGCTTTCCCTAGCCCTCCAGCTCCTCAGGCCCTTGGACATACATGCGCTCACCTGGTGTGATTTCAGGCCCACCTGGGGGTCTGGACACGTGGTCAGCGTGTGCTTTCCAGCACTCTAGCTCAGTTTGCTACTGACTGTGCCGCCAGACTAGGCCGTGTTTTATGTTGGTAACCATTTGCTGAGTACCTGCTGTGGGCTGTGTATTGAATGTAGAGAGGAGAGATGAAGCCCTGCCAGACAGACCTTGGCTAGCCTGAGACTGGGAGTTACTAGGTCTGTCCAAGGGTGGGATGGATGTAAGCTCTAAGTTCTGTGGGAGGGCAGAGTGGGGCTGCCTAGTCCAGGCTGGGATCAGGCACTAGGATGCTTACATCAGTGAAGAAGGATTAAAAGCATCATCCTTGCCACATGAGGCGACTGCATATAACAGACAAAGTCCCGAGAGAACATGGCCCAGGCAAGTCGCTGAAGTCGGGTGTGGGCGGGCGAGCTGTGAGAACAAGGTGTGCAAGACCAGGTCATGCACACCCTTGTCTGTCGTATTAAAAAGTTTGACTTTTCTCTTGACAATGCTGGTGGCTACTCATTATTAAGAGTCTAGCATGTATCATAGGAGCTAAGCATGGGCTTCATACTTTTTTTTTTAATTAAGTCTATTTTATTCATGAGAGAGAATACATGAGAGAGAGAGAACGAGAGAAGCACCTTCGACAGGATCTTGTCATGCCCCAGTTGCCATCCCACAGCCTCCAGGATCCTGAGCATGTGCCCAGGGTAATTTCAGGCCCACCCACAGCCCTGAACCTGCAGTTAGCCAGGTGGCTTCTAGCACTGCAGGTCAGTTTGCTCCTGGCTGTACCACAAGTTTGGACCCAGGCTTAAGTTCTTGATATTTTGACATCCCAGGATTATGTAATACCTATTTTTGGATGAAGAAATGGGTTGGAAAAGGCTAAGTAACCTTTCTAAGCTAGAGCCTGGGTTCAAGCCCTGGTTGAAGTCTCAACATTTGTGTCTTTCTATTTTTTTTTTTTAAAGAATTGTTTATTTAATTTTGTTTATTCATTCATTTATTTTAATTTGACCAGAGAGAAAGTGAGAAAGCAAGCCACCAGGTCTGGGACTCGAACCATGATTAGCCATGTGAGAATGTCCATTGCCTTAACCGCCATGCCACCTGCTGGTCTTGTCTTTCTACTTTGTTGCACGACCTCTCCTTGAAGTCAAAGAGGAATGAGTCTTTTAAAAGACCCTTTTGCCAGTGTAGAGAATTAATTTAGCTGTGGAAGCCTAGAGATAGCAAAGAGCAATTAGGAGCCTTTTGTAGTAGTTGATGTGAGTAATTGCGTGTTCTTGGGGCAGAGGACAAAACTGACTTCTAGCTAGGAAGTAGATCTACCTAGATGTATAGGATAAGGAAGCTGGGTTTTTGGGGTTTTTTTGTAAACAGGTTTATAAAAATTTCAATAGATGGATTTTAAAACCACTTGAAAGGCCAGCTCTGTAAAAAGTGACTTTTTCCAGGACAGTAACCAGATGTGACCTGCCCGCTACCATCTGGACTGGCAGCGACTGCATGTGCTGGCCGTGCTCTCCCCACAGCAGGTTTGCACCGAGGGCCACTGTAACACGAGCACTACGGCAGAGAGAACTGCAGTGTTGTCCTCTTTCATTGGAGGGAAAAACACTCTCCCTAGTTAGTGAGGCCAGCCCCAACACAGTGAAAAGCCGCACTAACTAGTTGAGAGTATCAGTAACAAATGATGCTGATGTGAGTAACTCGCATTTTATTGTAGAGCCCTTACAAATAAAATCCCCAGTTAGTGTTTGCACTGTCGGCTAGAGGGTTAGTCTACACATGGGGGAATGAGGGCTCATGCAAGGTATACACTGCACATAGCATTTTACTACCATGAAAACAAGTGCAGTCTAGTTAGAAAACCAGCACATGCTGTAAGGACAAGACTCCCTACCACATTTAATTTAAAGTTGTTGACACTGGGGACCAGCATGACAGGATGGTTACATCCCTCAACTCCCACTTAGTCTACTGTGGTTTGAGTTCCAGACCCGGTGGCTTAAAAATCACTCTAGGTGTGTGTGCGTGCGTGCCCAAGATCCCAAAAGGAGAATGGAGGAGAAGGGATTGCAGTGTGGCCATTCCCCCTGGGGGGTGATTTTTCGCTTTCTGTCTCTCTCTGGTGAGCACATGCAACCTATAACAAAAATCTTTCTTAAAAATAAAAAAAATGTTGGCACTGGGCCAGCAAGTGGTGTGGTGGTTAAAGCTGACTACAGTTTGAGTGTAAAACCGGCGGCTTGAAAATTATGCCAGGCATGTGTGTGTGCATGTCCAGAATCCTGCGAGATTGGAGAAGAGCTTGTGATGTGACTGTCCCCCGGGGAGTGGCTCTCTCCCCTTTCCCAGCTTGCCCAAGATCACACACACCTTATGGTGCGCACACACACACACAAATTCTGACAATATCAAATAGCTCTGATAAAGGCACATAGTATACCCTGTAGCTGCCTACTTTTTTTTTTTTTTAGCAAACTAAGTTATACTGTGGTTAAGACTCATTGTCTTCACCCTTGAAAAAGCCCACATTTTGTCACAGTGATGATGGTCGGTCAGACTTAACAGCCCTAACAGTTGAACACTTGGGTCAAATCCTAACCAGTTTTATTGCAAAAGGATCCCGTACACATTTTTTTAAAATCAGTTCTGATACCTTCGTGCCTACCCAGCAAGTCATTACCACGGAGAAGCCTGCATGTGAGAAGCAAGGAGCAGCACCTGTCGCACCTGTGTGTTAGCTTGTCGTGTGAGAAGAGGCAGTTTGAGGGGCAGGGTACGCAGTTCAGGAGTTTGGTGTTGATGTGCTCGCTTCTTTCGAGAGGAAGTGCCCAGTAATTGGATGCAAAGGTAGATGAGTTTGGAAGGAGAGATCTGGCTTGGAGTTTACAGGTTTTGGTTTTGCAAATAGATAAATGATTGAAGCAGTGGAGGAGATCAGCGTATTCATGGAGAACAGAAAGGCACAGGCTGAGGGCAGCCTATAGGAGCAACAAGACATCAGATCGTTATTTTTTTAGAATTAATTTATTTATTCGAGTTTTGCTATAGGGTGTGTGTGCTCACCACAGAGGCAGACAGAGACAGAAAGCAAAAAGTCACCCCCTGGGGGCTAGCCGTGCTGCAATTCCTTCTCTCAGGATTTTGGGCAGGCATGCACATGTGCCTGGTGTGTTTTAAGCCACCGGGTCTGGAACTAAAATCGCTATCAACTATGTAAGAGTTCAGTGAGGTAACAATTACGCCACGTGTTGGTCTCCAGATCATTATTTTATTTTATTTATTTTTAAGAATTATTTTATTTAACTATTGACTTATTTTTTAATTTTACCAGAGAGGGACAGAAAGAGAGAAAGTGAGAAAGCAAGCAAGCCGCCAGGTCCGGGACTTGAACTATGGTCAGCCACGTGGAAGTCCAGTGCCCCTACCACCATGCCACCTGCTGGCTCCAGACTGTTATTTTAAAGAGCTGGGAAGGAGGTAGAGGGTAGTAACTAAAAGAAAATTGAGAGATCATGAAATGATTGAGACACAAAAACTATACCTGTATACGTGGGTAGTGAAGGATGAAAGGGATGAGTGTTTACGTACTGAAGAGATGAAGAAGTGTTAAGTCCAGTGAGGAATGGGGCCCTATTAGACCTGCCTCTAGCCGGCCCTGGCAGCTTGCTTTCTCACTTTCCCTTTCTCTCTCTGTCTTTCTGGTCAAATTAAAAATAATGATAACAAATGGAATTAAATAAATGAATAAATAATTGTTAAAAAACTTTGTCATATGGTAATTTATATCCTTTTATATTAATGCCTTAAGTAAAAACCCAGCAGCAGGTCTAATAACTAAATAATTGCAGAGTAATAGATTCTACATATCTTGATCGGCAATAAACTATGATGTGCTATAAACATCTGATTTCTATTGATCAAGATCACAGCTACTACTAGTACTACCGTGCATTCTGGTCTGTACTTACACATAAAGGAACTGCTAAATTCTACTTAGAGATCAGTAAACAAACATGTGATCTATTTCTGGTCTAAGTATGCAGATTCCCTGAAAAGTACCCTCAGACAACTTAGGCCCCTGCTTGAGTAAAGCCTTGGCAGTGAGGGCAAGA